ATCTAGGACGCAGTACACACTTTGAGTTCAAAATGTTTATATGGCGCTGTCTTTTACAAAAGAATATATGTAAGTTTGAGAACCAATAGGTGAAAGTAGAAGCAGCCTTACTTGCCATTACTCTGGTGACCCTCTCGGATTTTATGTTTCCCATCTGAGCAACTCCTGAATTATAAGCTGAAACTACCACCTGGTCACTTTGAGTTCCTTGAACCAAAAGACCGAAAAGCAAGAAATCAGCATCCTGGCTGGGGTGACTGATCTCGCTCCCTCTTTTATGAGAACTTGCTGCTACCAGAACACTTGCTGGGAATACTGACAGTAGACAGCTTTCAGCTGTCAGCTCCTTCAAGGATTCTCGGCGGCAGAGCCTCATTGTTCACAGTCATGCCCCTTCCTGGAATGGCCCTCATTTGATGACTTTATCAGTCATCTTCACCTAGCAACTCTGAAAAGCTTCCTGTGGCGTCAACTGATGTCCAAAGGCACTCCTGAAAAAACATCCTGCACACCAAACTTTATCACAGAGTCTCCTTCCTATGAGAGCTCACTTATGATGAGTTACAATAAGGCCTTCCAGGAACTTACAGCTTTTGTGGCTAATTGCCAATTCCAATTTTTATACTGTTTGAAAATGCTAAGACAGGGTAAGGAAAAAACTTTATGGGATTCCTATTAGGGGCAACTCATGTGTTTTTTGGGAGCCTCAAGAGTATTTGAAAAAATAAAAAGAGCCCACTGAATTTATCCCTTCCAAATTAAAAGATGTTAACAATAAGCAAACTGCTTTTGCAATGGTCATGATATGAGAGCATCTTGAAAATGGATGTTTGTCCATTATGACATGAGTTTATTACTGAAAATGTATTAATACCTTGTAATTAATTTAAAACTGGCTGATTGATCTCAGGAATATAGAAACTACTAGGTATATTTTAATGAAGATTTTTCAAGACCAAAAAATTAATATCATGTTTTAGCAAAGAGAGCTAATACAATTCTTCCTTTAGGATTTAAGTATTTATGTGCTTTTGTTTGAGCTATGACAACCAAATATTTAAATTAACTGAATTTTCACGAAGTATTAAACCAAAAAAGAAATTTTTTAATGAGAAAGCATGATGACCTGGCCATCTAGTTACTTTTTATCCACTTTTTCTAAGTCTTTGTAAAATATTTTAATAGCATATTTTTTGGTGAGAGCAAAAAGGTTTTGGTATCATTAGTGAAATAAAATATTTCAAAAATATTGCATATATTTATTTTATCCTTTAAAGTTTTATGTCTCAAATTTATATAATAGTAGAGTAGCATATATATATTATATAACAATTTTTGCTGTTTGCTGCCTTCTTTTATTAAATCCGATGACAGGGTTCACCTCTTCCTAGTAATCATTTGAGCATTTGAAATTTGAAGTCAGCAAAATTATTGATAACAACTAAACTTACAATATAAAAAGGTAATTACTATACACTTAAGCACAACCAAGTAAAATAAACTGATATACAGGGACTTTTGATAATTTCAACATTTTTTTTATGAAGGAATTGTGACATCCTTAAGTAGATATGGCTGTGTATGCCTTTTGTCTTAATCTGGTCTTAGTTTCTACTTATCGTTCAAGTCTCAGTTGTCACACCCTATTCTCCCAGTGTTCAAAATTGGCATATCTTTTTCCTGCCTGAGTAATATATTTTGCTGAGATTACTTTTGCATCTTTAATTGCCCAGAGCTCTTCTTCTTCTTAGATTTTTCCCTTTTTTAAAGCATGAGATTTTAAGGAGGCCACTTCTCTATGATACTGCCTACAAAATTAATGATGCTAATTAATGGTCTTTTTTGCAAGGATGTTAAGTTCTGGTTTTTAACTTTAGTTGTGCACAATCACTAGTTTACCCAGGTAAACAGGTGGGCATGCTTTTTATGCATTAAGGGATTCTTAATTGGAATTTGTGGAAACATGGATGCCATACCATTTTTATGTAAAAACATTAGCCATTCCTGTAATTAATGCAGTTAAAAGGCTAAACTGCTCTTTCGTTTGATCTAATTGTCTTTGTACTATGCCATTCCTTCTTCCCAGTCCCCACCCCTACTCTCCATGGCAAATAATGTAATCACAGCACATGGCTCATGTTATATCACTGGTAATATAGCAAAGACTTAAATGCTGATGTCTACAGTAGCTGTTATCTAAGGTAATTTGGGCCCGATTAATATCTTCTGCACAATCTACTCTGTGAACAGCATTATTTTAGATTTTAGTGGTTACTAGAGGGAAAGGGGGAGGGGGGAAAAATAAAGGTAAAGGAGGTCAAATATATGGTGTTAGATTTAACTTTGGGTGGTGAACACACAATGCAATATATATATGATGTTACTGCATCGTACACTTGAAACCTATATAATTTTGTTAACCAATGTCACCCCAATAAATGTTTTTTTAAAAGGAAAAGATCTAGCTAGCCTAGTGAGGCTTTAGTTTACATTCATTACTATGTTTAAAAACCTTTCCATCTCCTGTAGGAAGAGGCTTATCATCCTTACATTACACTTTAGCATTGCAAAGATTCCTAAATGAAGTGTGACATAAAACTTTCTTTGGTCTCACATTAATCAAAACTACACTTACAGCAATTAGTATTTAGATAAATATAATTTATTACTTTAATATATTCTTTAGATGGCACTCCAGTATTAACTATACATCCATCCTAGTACCAAAGTGTTTTTAAGATCTAAATTCTCATTTGATAATATAAAATAATCCCACATTTCTGGAAATAAGGATTCAAGTTCAACGGTTTTAGGTCAAAGTTTTACACATATAATCCTTTGCTTTCTGTTACTCTTTTAATGGTAGGTATATTTTGTCTTGACATTCATCAAGTGTTTTCTACAAATGACACACATTAGAATAACATCTATACATGGTTCCATAAATTACTTTCACATACTAATCTATGCATGTAAAGAAGTCACTGTCTTCAAAAACCATTTAAAAGATTCTATTGACTTGTGTAAAATACACATTTTGCTACAATTGCTTGTCATCTTAGAAAAATAAACATTCATTGAGTCACAAAACCATCTTGTCTTCACTGCTGCTGTTTCTGGCTACTGGAAATACAGAGCCACTGACTGAATGCTACGGCGTCTGTTGCCCTTAGCTTAATTGGGGTGACTTTTTTTCTTCCTAACATCTATCAACTTCAGTGCTCTTGATATCAAAGAATTCAACTTACGTGCTTGCTGGAATTTGTTAGACACTTTCAGCAAAGCACGTCACTTTCTATCAAGCAAACCAAGGATTTCTATCTACCCTGCTGGGGATCTTTGAAGATATTTACTTCTGGAGATGACTCGCTACATTAAAATGTCCTTTTGTGGATAAATCTGGAAGCTACACAATTAAGTGCTATCAGAGAAATAAACAAACAAGAAAACTCTCTGGATACACGACCCGCAAGGCACCTTGGCCAGATGGCCTTTCCTTGGTAAAAATTAGGAAAACGTATTCCTACTGCTGATTTCAACCTCATTGCCAGGGCAGGAGATCTGCTGGTTGTGGGTTGGATTTCTACCTGCCCTCCTCCCCTTGGCTGGGTGCCCATCCGCATAGCACAACCCACACACAATGTGGTGGTCTTGCTACCATTTATAGCATTGTTCCAAATGAACTGAAATTTAAGGTTTTTTGTTTTTTTTTTAAGTGGAATACTCATGAAGATCTGGGAGGACAGAGTGATGAGGATGTTTTAAGTCTAATGTTCAAAAACAGTGTCAAAATAAAGTTTAACAACTTTTAACTACTGGAGGGGTTCGACTTGAACCTTCTTCTCATTATTGTATACAACTAAGGCACATTGACTCCAAACAATTGCGGGGGCAAACTGCAACTGCAAATTGAAGAGACCGTCACTCCTAAGTCCATAGATCATAGAACAAGCTTAAATACCTTTTAATTATTTGGAAAATTCTGGGGAATACAGATAGGTAATACTGAAAGGAAAAAAAACCTTCTATAAATTTTCCAAGTTCCATGTTTTTAGACAGCTGTCTATAAAACCTGACATAGATTAACATATACACACATGTATTTGTGACTGAAAATGCTACAGTAATAATTTACAATGGAAACAAGGTTTGCATGTATGCACTGTAAAGGGTATTTCAGTGATCCTGTACTGGTATGAACAATGAAGCTATTGAAAAGTATTTCTTACCGATATTGTCCAAATGGTCAAAAGAATATATACTTCAAGACATATGAACTAATATATTGGGAACTATCCAGGATTTCAAAAAATTAAGACTGGTAATCAGTTAATTTATAGTGACAATGCATTCATTTAATATTCAATGGCACCAATTTTTGTGAAAATTAGTTGTAAACGTCTTACTCTTGTAAGAACATATTCAAAGGCAAATGCCTCCATAACCTGAGTTGAAATTTTTCTTACATTTGAATTTTCTCTAAATTATTCAATCACCAAGTACCTGATCAAAGGCAATCCTTGCATGTTTCAAAACTTCTACTGTTGAATGCTACCCTTCCTCTTTCATTTCCTGACACCAAATTAGAGGGTAGAGCTATTTTTGAAAGAAATTATTACTAAAGGTAATAATTAAGAAGAGTGGAAAAATTATTTCACTCCATATGGTAGCCTGGCTTCTATTTATCCCTACAAATCACCTAACCCCTCAGCGTCAACATACTGGCATAGTCCAACTAGGTCACCCTAAAGTGTAAATGTTTCTGGTAATAATGATTTGCAGGACCCAAAAAGAAATAATTATTTTCCTTTTGTCATGAAATTTAGATTTTAAAAAGCAATGCTTGTTTTGCTATCACAGGAATCTGTTTCGATAGACAATAGATATAACCAGAATATCCAAATTTATAACACTAAATTTGGATATTCTTGAAATTTCACTTGAAATTAGTCTTCAGTGTCAAAAAGCAAACTTGTAATAATTAGAAAACAATTATGAACATGATATGTAAAATAAGTCAGTTTATTCTACAATTTTTCTACTGTGTAGAAAAATGCAAACACAACCTTTATTGTTAACATTTACATTTGGTTCTGTAAACAAAATTGGCAAAAAAACAAAGAATTTTCTATGTATTTATATAAATTTCAAGAATATTTATCACTTCTGAAAATTATTTCTTAAGTCTAAAAGCCAGTAAATGTAGAAGTTGAAGGGGAAGAGAAAAACATTGACAACAGATTTGAATTTTCCTCTTCCCAAATACCTAAAATATCACATATACTACTGTTTTCAGTGTAGCTTGTAAAACCCAAAAATTCTGACTTCTCTTCACTAGTCTGAAATAAGTCCAGTAGAGACTGTACTGGTGAACTACAAATTCTGCTTTCCTCTTGTGTAATAAGACATTCAGTTCTTTTCTCATCTAATTCCACATTTGGTTCCAGATTTTTTTTATTTCTTCCTAATAATATTTTCACTTTTCGATGAATCTTACAAGGTGAATTATCTGTATTCTTGATGTCACATTCATTAGGGTCTTCTGGACAACTTCGGGATGGACTCATTGCCTGAAATGTTAGATGCTCCTGTGAACTGTTTAATGCTAACTGACCAGAAACATGACCAAATACTGAATGAAGGTCCTTTTCCTTCTGATCCTTTCCTGAAAAAAGCACAGTATCTGACTTTTGTTTTGGTTGAGATGCACAATTATCCATACTGAAATCAGAAACTTGTATAGATGCCTGTAGCCTACATGGACAGTGATCTACCCTTAGTTCTTCCAAGTCATTTTCATTTGTAATTAATTTATGTTCGGAAATATCAAGAATGCATCCCTTTTCATTTTTATCTGAAAGCAGATGTGTAAAATTTTGTTTTATGTCATTTTCAGCTGGATTTAACAGGAAACATTTATTAGTTGTTTTCTCATCAAGTTCTCTCAATTCAACTGAAGGGTGGGGGATGTGTTCTGAAATAAACACAAGCTTTTGTTCAGGTTCCTGGGTTTCTTTATATAGAAAACTCTGCTTGATCACCTGTACATTATCTTCCTTAAAGTCTTTCTGAGAAATAAGTTGCAATTCTAGTTTTTCTTTGGGTTCGGGTTTTTTCAGGACATTTGCAGTAACAGGAGACAGGGACCCAATGCTGTATTTTATTCTTTATAGGAGGAAAAGAAAAAAAATAAAATTGCTATCAAACATTTCTGAGTAGTTAAAAATTAGTAAAAATCTTAAAATTATCTACAAAACTTATCTAACTTAGACATTACAAAAATACAGAAATCTTAACATTCAGCCAAGTTTACTTTAGATGTTTTGGAAGTAATAAAACTTTAGATATAGCTGAAAGCTCTAGTGTACCCTTCTCTCCATTCTTCATCCCCATTCCTTCTAGAGATAACCAGTATCTTGAATTTGGTGTTTAGAATTATTTTAATCATTTAAGTCCAAGAAGATGATAGAAAGAGATTTGGGTCTCTGTAATTTTTTCATTATCCTGAAAAATTTCATAATTTTATGCTTTGATTTATATTAATGTTATATCTTCATTTTAGTTAGCAATGTGGAAAATGAGTATTTATTGGGAAACCTAAGACAGAGGCAGTTATTTATTTATCTACTTATTTACTTATTTATAGTTAAGTATAAAATATCTAATATCATACTGAGCCAGAAACTTGGCATCTTTATACTTATAAAGATGACAAATTACTAATCCTTAAGTTTCACACACATATTTGAACTGAAACCCTCTTCTTCATGGAGCCTCTTGATATCCTTGGGATGCTAGTTTGTATTAGACAATCCTAAAGAGGAAGAAACTTAACCAGCTTACTAATTGTTTTGTTATACATGTCATAGACAACAGAGGAATATAGAATTCCACCTCTCCCTTCAAAACCAGAATGGTTCCTTTTACATTTATTTTATTTATACTTTCACTTAAGATTCCTCTGGAACAAACAGAGGATAAAAAGATCTAAAAACCCTTGTCCAACACTGCTCTTTTTAAAGTCTAGAGATGTTCAAGTGACTTACCCAGAGATTAAAACTGTGCATATAATAACAGATAATTTTAAGGAATAACCAACTTATACATTCCTAGTTAGAATTTTGCTGCAGATTGAGTTTTTAGGGAATTCTACATTTTTACAGTAGCCCATATAATTTTAATATTTGGAAATATGCCTCCTCTCCAAATTGTATTTTAAATTAGTCATGAACAACTATTCTGAATGTTATAGAAATATGAGGTTTAGGAATTATCTACCTACATATAGTCGAAAAAACTTTCTAGTTAATTTTCAGAAGCTGTAATTTAGTATCACATTTTTTAATCTTCTTTATGCCTTAAAAGTAGTCTAAAACAGACAAAAAGGACTGAATAACAGTATATACTGAGTTATTACCAGTTCCCAGGGTATATCCATATGAAAAACATTTCTTTTTATTTTAGGTTTATGGGAATAATCTAACCAAGATCATTCTGTTGATGTGCAGTCATTGAACATTGAACAGTACGGCATTTACACTCAAAAGTCCTGTTAGTATCTGTAGTAAATTTATAGGCAAGTCGAGTTTAAGCAGAAATATTTAGTAAAAGTATAAAGACTTAATAAGAGGTAAATGGTAAATGAGGAATGCTCCTTAAAACTTAATATTAACTAAAAATTCTAGCTATTTTAGTCCAAGCTGATGATAAACTTCATGGCTTTACACCAGGGGTTGACAAACTATATAGCACATGGGCCAAATCTAGTTTGCTATCTATTTTTCTAAATAAGGTTTCACTGGAATACAGCTAGTCTCACTCATTTTACATACTGTCTGTGCTGCTTTCATTGTACAATGGCAAAGCTAAATAACTGCAACAGACATCTTATGGCTCATAAAGCCTAAAATATTACTATCTGGTTCTCCATAGGAAAAAGTTTGCCAACTCCTCTATTAGATTATAATATTAAGAAGATGACCTTAAAATCTAAGGTAAGCACTTTTGGTAATGGAGAAAGGAGAGGAAAGAAATAATCAGTTCTTTACACCCTCACAATATATATTCCTTTACAAAGAGGAAACTTTGGATTTGAGTTTAATATTCCAGTAAAATTTAAAACTTAGGTTGATAACTTACTTACCTTTTTTTCTTAGGCACTTCCTTTTCATATTCCACAAAGTCAAAAACTAACTTTGATACGATATCATCAACAACTTGATAGTGATTACTCTGTGCAAAGTTCCTGTGTTGCTCAGTTAAAAGATGCTAAAAAAAAAAAAGCACATGAATCATAAAATTATATTTTAAACCAACAGATAACCTTTTAGTTCAGATTTTCTATTATTTACAATGTTGTTAAAATAAAGTTTCTAATAACTACTCCAAAGAAATGTCTTTTTACTAGAACTTCAAAGGATTTTAAGAAGTAAAATAAAAGTAAAAACTAAAACTACAGTTGACCCGTGAATGCAGGAGTTGGGTCGCCAACTCCCCTGCAGCTGAAAAATTCATGTAACTTTTGATTCTCCCAAAACTTAACCATACCAATTGTCCCTCAGTATCTACAGAATATTGGTTCCAGGACCCCACCTCAGATACCAAAATCTGAGAATGCTTAAGTTCCCTAAATAAAATGACACAGATCGATACATACACTTGGACTTCCACATCCATGGACTCCCAACCTCTGATCAAAAACAGTACAGGTATTTACTGAAAAAATCCACATGTAAGTGAATCCACACAGTTCAAACCTGTTTCTTCAAGGGTTAACTGTACTTTAGTTTTCAGTGTTCTGTTTTTCAATGAAAAAAGTAGAGTACTAATTTGTGGTTTCAACGAACTGAAATCAAATGAGCTATATCAGAAAATGAAGATAAAAATGGAGGAAAACAACATTAACATTTAACATTTAGAGTGTGCAGATACTTTTGAAAACACTTTTCCCTTTATTATTTTATTTTATCCTTATAAAACTACCACTAAGGTAGGGCTTATAAAATATTCAGTGAGCAAAATGGTATAATTTAATATATAAGAATTGAAAACAAGAATCTATAATGTAGATTAAACAAACAAAATGCTGTAAAGGAACAGTTTTGAAAGGCACAAACAAATGACCTCAATTGGCCAGTGCTTATAATGGAAAGTACAGAGAAGTTATTCTCAATCTTAAGAGTGGTCAAGAACAAAAGTAAATAAGTTCAGTGTACTGGAATAAAACTCACAGGTACAAAGTTCCTTCTGAATAGGTGAAATCTCCAGGCTAACTTTATCATTTGTCAGCTGATCAGGGAATTATATCTAAAAGTCCGTATACCAAGATGATCATGGAAGAACCTCAGTTCTGTTTCCCTAGTTTCATATAATTTTAACTTTTGATGATCTGATTGTATTTCCAAAAACTAAAATCTCCATTTCTCACAAAAGACACAGCACAGTTGACCCCTGAGTAACTTGGTAGTTAGGGGCACAAAACCCCCGCCAGTCAAAAAATCTGTGTACAACTTTGACTCCTCAAATACTAATAGCCTATTGTTGACCAGAAACCTTACCGATAACAGTCAATTAACACATATTTTGTATATTATATACTGTATTTTTACAATAAGCTAAAGTTACTAGAAATCAAAAGAAAATTAACAGTATTGGACATTTGTCATCTGTTTCAAGATGAATCATCTGTCAGTACTACATCAATATTTCATATAATATAAAATACTGTAGATATTGTTATATGTATTACCAACAGTATACATAAAAGATGAAAAAATAATGTGAAAAAGAAGTTCATATTTATTTACAGGTCTAAAAATTCATGCATTGATAACAAAGCAACAATTTCACTGCTTCACATTAGCCTAGTATAACTAATACAATTGCTTCACAGCAGTAAAGAAATCTCCAAAAATTTTTCCAGTATATTTATTGGGAAAAAAAAAATTCTGTGTACAAGTGGACTTGCACAATTCAAACCCGTGTTGTTCAAGGGTCAACTGGATTCTGGAATATATATGTATTCTTTCCTTAGCTTGCAAAATTTACCACATACAAGTTACATATATCCAGTAATGTTAAACAAATTAAAAATTATTAAAATTTAAAAAGAAACATTAACTCTTTAAGTTCAGATTCAGCTTATTCATGCTCTTGGGAGGAAAAATAATTAACTGAAATAAATTAAGAAAAACAATCACAACTTTTGTGTAGTTCCCCATTACCTCCACCTAGTTCTTATCCTGTGTTGATTTAAATGTCACTTTCTGAGTTTAGTCTTTTGTGACCCTCATTCTCGTTAAGTACTCTCATTATTTATTATCATTATACTTTATACTTCACTTTTGTGACAGTCATCCCACTTGCAAATACATGTTTTATATCTATCTTCTCTGCCAGATCAAAAGATGTATAAGGGTAGGGAATATGTCTGCCTTGTTAATCTCTAATAATCAAATTTGTTAAATGAATGCCTTGATACATTTCTTCATTAGACACTAAATAGCACATACACAAAAAACTGTAAAAAAAAATTTTTTAAGTATCAATCCCCAAAACTACTTTCACTAATTTTCATTCCTTGTGGCAACCAGTGACCAAGGTTTTCATTTTTTTTTTTTAGCCCCAATATTCTCTGAGCATCAAATTAGGATAACAAACTGATATTAAGGAAAGCATCCATTCCAGATTATGCTACTGCAACAAGAGCAAAATAAAATTTAAGGACCAATCTATAATTTAAATTTTCTAAATGGTTTTTAGGAAGGGAAATATTTCTGATAGTTTAGCTTCTGATTAAAAATAATTTTAAATTGTATTTTTCTCTTTATTAAATAAATAAAACAAAATGACACAAAACACTAATATACTTTGGGTTATAAAACAAACTTCAATTTAGAGAAGAGGTAGTTTATAAATCAAATATTTAAAATTTTTCTATCTCTTAAACTTTTCCACCATCTTCTACCAAAACCAAGCACCAAAAAATACATCTACTATTATAAAAATTAACAATTCAAATTATAACAGCTAACATTTAATAAGCACAGTGTCAAGCACTGTCCAAAATCACATAAACAAGATAGCCAGGATTCAAATCTGGGCAGCCTGGATCCAAAACTCTTTTTTTTTTATTTTTTACATCAGTTTACAAACTATAATAGTTCTCATCTTTAACTTTTTCTTCGTTCCATATATCCTTACAATTATTCTATTTCTCTTTCTGCTACTTAAAAGAATTGTCTCCACTTTCTTCTCATCTTTCTATTAGTTTTTTAATTGCTCAGGCCTGAAATATTGGTCACCTTTGACTTGTTTTCTCTCATCCTCAACATCTAATCCACTGGCAATTCCTCTTGGTATCATTTTTAAATTATACCCACAATCTGACCACGTTGCATAATTTCTACCACGGCTTAGTCTAGGCTACTATCTTCTGTTCGTTATTCCCATCAATCAGTTTAATTTAGCACTTTTGCATTATTTATTTCAATATTCACAAGTCCTGTTGCCCCCTCAACTTCTCCCAGACCTCTATTTAAATATCACCTACTCGGTTAGGTATTCCTTATTTAGTCTAAATAAATAGCAACATCCCCAATTCCTGCTTTATATTTTCTCATAGCACTGATCCAATATTTTCTCTATATACATCATTATTCTTTTATCCTACGGTTACAGCTCTCTTCTCCCCCTCCACGGAATGTAATCTTCACAAGGGCAGGAAATTGGTCTCTTTGTTCAATGCTATTAGCCCAGAGCAGTGATTCGTACACAGTAGAGGCACAATAACTATTCGTGGAATAAATAAATGATTTTTTCAATATATATTTCCTCGTTCGGTTCTTAAAATTTCATATAATTCTATCAAAAAGAAATACATATCACTTAGTAATTTATCAAGTTGTAAACCACAATCAGATATTTATTCATAGTTTCAGACATATCAACCCCCAAAATATAAAATCACATTTACGGTTTCAAGATCTTCATATTTTTGCAAGCAACATTCACAATATCCTTTTTTTTTCTTCTCTTTCAACTGGAGTTGAACTGGGATTCCACATTTATCGCCATCTGTTTGGATTCTGATGGAAATACATGAATTAACTGCTGAATATAAGGAATAATTTTAAAATTTATAGGCTCCTCCTATCAAACAGAATCTACCACAATCTGCACAGAGATTTATATCAACAAATACTTTTAACCACATATTTTCTAAACATGTGGTTTAAACAATTCAAATTATAACAGCTAACAACTGAAAAGCAAACTAAGAATATTATTATTCTGGAAATGTTTCAGATCACTTAAGGAAAACAACACATTCTCATTATTTGCAAATATTTTTGAGCCCCCCCCTCCAATCTATAAATGTCTGTGGCACATTGGAGAGATTTGGACTTCATATCTAGCAAATGGGCAATAAAAATATACAGAGGGAAACCATAATAGTGATCACGCACACGCACACACACACACACGCACACGCACACGCACACGCACACGCACACGCACACACTCCATGGCATTAAATAATTTTAATGTTTAAAATGATAAAAATTACTTGAAGGTTAAACCAACCTTAGTTTAACCTGAGTCTGCTTTTGGATGCTAGATGGCTTATCTACATCAAATGGACTGGAGGGCTTCTGAATAGAATAATTTATAAAAGGCATATTGGTCAGCTGAAGATAAAATGGTCTATAAAGTCTAAAAGAATAAAAAGAAAAATACATGAAATTCTTCATGATGAAAGAAAACATGTTGAAGTCATATTTCAAAAATAATTCATATGGAATTTGAAATAACAGAAATCAATCAGGCTTCCTTTTCCAATTCTAGACCTAACTTTTTTTAACATCATTATTTTTAAATTGTGGTAAAACACACCTAAAGTTTACTCCTAACCATTTTTAAGTGTACAGTTCTGTTGCATTAAGTACATTCACAATGTTTTCCAACCTTTAACACCATCCATCTCCAGATTCTGCTCATCTTGTAAAATTGAAACTCTATATTCGTTAAACAATTTTCCACTCTCTCTTTCCTGTCAGCTTCTGACAACAACCATTCTTTTTGTCTCTAAGAATTTAATGACTCTAGGTACCTCATTGAGTGTAATTATGCAGTTCTTTTCCTCTTATTTCACTTAGCATAATATCCTCAAAAAGTTCATCTATGTTGTAGCATGTGTCAGAATTTCATTCCTTTTTAAGGCTGAATATTCCATTTTATGTATCACATTATCCATTCATCTGTTAACATTTGGGTTGCTTCTGCCTTTCAGCTATTGTGCATAGTGCTGCTATAGACATATACGTGCATTTATCTCTTCGAGACCCTGCTTTCAATTATATTTGATATATACCCAGAAGTGAATTGCTAGATCATGTGGTAGTTCTAATTTTTTGAGGACCCTCCACAGTTTTCCATAGGGAATGTACCATTTTACAATCCCAACAATGCACAAGAGTTTCAATTTCTCCACATCCTCACCAACAGTTTTTTTTTAAGTTGCCATCTGAATGGTTGAGATGGTAGTACCTCATGTGGTATTGACTTGCATTTCTCTGATGGTTAGTGATACTGAACATCTTTTCATATGTCTGTTAGCAATCTGCATATCTTTGGAGAAAAGTCCTTTGCCCATTTTTTAATTAAGTCATTTGATTTTCTGTTGTTGACTTCTATATATTATATAACGCTTTATTAGATATGTGATTTGCGTATATCTTCTTCCATTTCATGGGTTGCCTTTGCTCTGTTGTGGCCTTTGGTGCATGGAAATTTATAATTTTGATATAGTCCAATTCCTTTTATCTTTTGTTACTTGTGCTTTTGGTGTCATATTTACAAAATCACTGTCAAATCCAATGAATATCATAAAGCTTTCATTCTGTTTTTTTTCCCAAGAGTTTTACAGTTTTAGGTCTTCAGTCCATTCTGAATTAATTTTATATGTGGTATAAAATTAAGGCTCGATTTCATTCTTTTACATGAGGATATCCAATTTTCCAAATACCATTTGTTGAAAAGACTGTCCTTTTCCCACTGAATGATTTTGGCATCTTTGTCAACAATCTTTTGACCATACATGCAAAGATCTATTTCAGAGCTCTTTATTCTATCCTACTTGTCTATATATTTGTCTTTATGTCTGTACCAAACTGTTTTGATGACTGTAGCTTTGTAATAAGTTTTGAAAAAACAAAGTGTAGACCTCCAACTTCGGTCTTCCTTTTCAAGACTGTTTTGGGTGTTCAGGGTCCTGTGACATTCCATATGAATTTTAGGATGGATTTTTCTTTTTCTGCAAAAAAAGCCATTGGGATTTTGATAGGGATTGCAATGAATCTGCATGAACATCGCATGTCTTTCCATTTATTGGTGCTTTCTCTAGGCCTAATTTTGAATTGAATCTTTTTCCTCCATGGCAACACATTTCATAAAGAGAAGCATTCAACACCTCCGTGAGTGCCAAAGAGAATCATTCATCTGAATGAATAACTGGAAAGTCAAGAGAAAATAATCTGATTCTCCCATGCCAAATTAATTTACTTATATTTTAATCTTCATTAAGATCATCTTATAAAATATCAGAGTTAATTTAGAAAAACTACCAAATTAGATGTAGATTTAGATTTTATTTCTAAATAACACCTAATAATTTCTTTTTCAGAAATGCAGACAAAATCAAGTAGTAGATATAAACCACAAAGTACTACATTCATCCAGAGAATGGTTATTTGAAATACTAAAAAAAGTGAGTTGGTCTCAAGATTGTTCTAAACTAGATATTCAAGAAATTATTATTTACAACATAGTGTAACTAAATTTAGTCCTTGAACACAAATTAATGTTACTTTCTGTAACTTGTGCCACTTGTCAATTAGTATAATATAAATCTAACACAAAGGGACCTCACAGTATTAATGAAAATATCTTAGTTATTTTCTTTTTCAATATTGTATTTAAATCATAGAGATTAAACTTGGATACTTACTGGTTCATATCTTCCACTTTTACAAAAGGCTTTTTGAGTCTACCTGCTTGAGAACATATAAAACATAATATTAGATACTTACACATCCATTCATTTTTTTTAAAAAAACACAAAACTACTCTGGCTAAAAAAAAAAACCCAACTATGGATCCATTATCCACTTCATTTCAATTAGAAGTTTTAAGCCTCAGGTGAGGTATTTAACAATATCGACCCATTCCAAAATAACACACTGTCTATAGTCTGAGATTCTTAAAACTAAATGGATCCCTCAAAGGATCTATGAATAAAATCCAGGAAGATTAAGAGCTAAAACAGGAAAAAAGTCCAACTCTTACTTTTATGAACCTCTATATTAAACGTTCTTCAATTATGCATATAAGCAACAGGGTCACAGTATCACCAGTGCCTATAATTTTGACGCCAACTGAAATAGGTATTTTCATAGTATATTAATTATTACAGATATTTCAAAGTATCATTTGTGTTCATCACTTCAAAATTATAGTAGTAATTAGAAACACTGTTAGAACTTGATTTTAATGTGTGATAAAAGAATATCACTATTTCATTATTAAAAAATATTCTGATAACTGAATTTCAATATAATTATTTTAGTAGTCTAATAATTTCTTTAAAATGTTTTAAAAAATATTATTCTGAGAAGGACTGCCACAGGGGCCCATATTTTTTAAAAAGATGAAACACTGAGTAAGTCATTTAAAGGGTTGTTTACATGATTTCCAATATTTTTATATGGTACATTCTATTTTCTAAAGCAAATAAACACATTTAAGAATATCAAAATACTTACTTCTTGCTTTCTGTATGCCAATGCCTACTCTTTTCCCCTAAAAATAAATAGGTATAATGAGAATACTGGGTTTGAAAGTACACTGAAAATAAAATATCAACTGCAGTTGTGCTCAATATCCTCAAGATAAAAAAATCATACAGGAAAATAACTATATAAAAGAAAGCTGATTACTTAAGTTTTGTGGGGAAAAAGAGAAAAACTTGCTTTTTAAAATCAACTTAACCAAATATATGAAAAGAAACGATCATTCAAGAATTAAAGACCTTATCCAAGGGGAATCGCATTTAGTGATACAAGATCTCTTTCACAATATACCTAACTAGTACTGTGCATTCTAGCTAAATTGTTTTTGTCTTCATAGAAAGAAATCAATCAATAAAGAAAAAGTACAGTTAATGAAATAATCTAAAAATAGTCATTTAAGTTATTTTTATGTACTTATTTGGCAAAACCTTTGTAATAAACTGAACGATGGAATTATTGAAAAATGTATTATGGTCTGTCAATTCCAGTCAAGATGGAATACATGCAATATGGTCAATTATTTCCACTGATTACAACTAAAAACTCTGGACAGAATATCATAAGCTTACCTGTGGACTAAAAAGTAAACAAAAGCAGGCATATTGAAGAAAAAAGTAAAAACTCAGAGAGGGGGTAAACTTTTAAGGGGATAAACTTCCCATCCTCCCCACTGCCAGCATTTCTCTTGCAATGTTGCATTCAGGATGGATCTATAGTCATGGAACTGGCAGCAATAGAGGAGCCGGTGGCTAAAACTCCTATATAAACTCCATATTTCTAGATAGAAAAAAACAAGTGAAGAGGTATCTGCAGTCTGAAGAGTTCAGAGAGAATCCTTTTATTACTTCTTTCTTTTCTCCCACAGTTTTTCCCTGAGGGTGGGTCCCAGTTATGAAATTGCAGTTTTAACAGTGCCACAGGCAGCTAAAATTGAGAAACCCCGACTTTCTGATCAGAGAAACTAGAAAAAGGCCCATTGCTGACTGACTAGAGAGTGAACAGGAAACCACAGAGTAAAAAGCTATTCCCTGTATAAACCCACATAAGTACCAGGCTTAACTCTAAGCTGCATATGCTAAAGACAGACCCAAAGCAGCATATTCAGGGCTTTGAAAATGGAGCTAAGATTCAAACCACTGCCCAAGTCTTGGACTAACCTATAAGTGATGCATGTGCAGAACAAACAGAAACCTGAATACAAGTCTTTGAAAACTGAAACAGATTAGAACTGCCACCTACAGATATTGAGATAGAACTGATAGTTTGAACAAAACTGGATGATTGCCTAAAAAAATGACAGCAACAACAAAATTGGCACTCTCCAGAGTATTATAACAGATCTAGGGTCTACGCAATATAATATTTACATATATTATGTTTATTATACAGTCAAAACTTTTTTGACATATTAAGAACCAAGAAAATATGATCAGTTTTTGAGAGAAAAAGACAATTAGTTTCCAACACTAAGATGTTCCTAATGTTGGATATAAAAGAAAAAGACTTTAAAGGTAAACATACTTAAAATGAATGGAAAGATATAAGTTCTCAGCAGAAAAAAAAAACATAATAGAGAACCAAATGGAAATTGTAAAACTGAAAAATACATGATCTGAAGTACAGAAGTCGCTGTATTTCACTTCACACAGTGAAATGTCAGTGAACTTGAAGATGAATAAAAAGCTTCAATCCAGTGAATAGAGGAAAAAAAAGATTGAAAAAAATGAAAAGAGCCTCAGGGAACCAACAGGTACCCCACATTCCAGCTACAATAAATATAAAAAGGTCTGATATTAGTGTTACTGGAGTTATACAGAGAGACAACGGTGAAGAAAATAATCTTTAAACAAAATAGCCAAAATTTCCCAAACATAATTTATCAATTCAAGAAGCTCAGTGAACAGCAAACAGAATAATCTCAAAGTAAACCATGCCTTGGCCTATTACAATCAAACTGCTGAAAACCTAAGATAAAGAAAAAATCTTGACAGCACACATTACATATAAAGAATAATTCAAATGACTAAAGATTTCCCATCAGAATCCATGGAAGCCAAAATACAATTGTAGAACACCTGTACAGTGCTGAAATAAAGACATTCTCAGATGGAGGAAACCTATGAGAAGTCATTGCCAACAAACCTGCTTTTAAATAATGCAGAAAATTCCAGGCCCAGAGAACCTGGGCCTACAAAAACTGGTCTAGAAAACAGAAGCAGAAATACATCCCAGCATTTTATGAGGGCAGCATTACTTACTCTGACACTAAAACTAAAGACATCAAAAGAGAAAGACAACCAATATTCCTCGTGTACATAATATGCAAAAAATCTTCAAGAAAATAAGTTTCAGGTAAACTGATGAAAAGCTCAAAGCACTTTAAGTAGTAGAGCAAAATATATTTATCCAACTTACAAACAAGAGTATTTATGAAATATAATTAATATATGTTTTACATGTATCAGTGTGTACAAGATTTATATATATTCATTCGAGAACCATAAATGCATCTTCATTAAAAAGTTTTATGTTTTACTACTTGGCAAACCAAAAGTAATACAGAAACATTTTTTTTTTCACATATAAAAAAAGTTTTAAGTATTGGAATCAAGTTGAACAATTATATATCCTGGATTATACAGTTATTTAGTATTCCTATCCTTTTCATTTAGGGAGAAAAGATCTTTTTTCACAGCTATTTAGCACAGCTTTTTATTGTTTTCCTAATGGCTGACACACAATAGGCACTGAGTATTTGTTGAATACTGAATGAATAATGAATACAGTATTTGTTCAACACTGGGTTACATGTGTTAACAAAACTCAATGTTGAAAGAGAAAAGACATGCTCTGAAAACCCTCATGGAGCTTATATCAGATTCAAGGCAGAGATCAGGCACTGAAACGTGCTAAAAGAGTATCTTTCAAGTCTTCCCTTCTCCTTCTGTTACTACCTTAAAGAAGCCGAAGAAATCAACCTCTCTCCTGATTACTGACATAAAATCCCAGAATACTTTTGAACTTTGGACTGTGACCTATTAGAAGGCTGTAAAATCAATTTAGAGAGCTGTGACCAGTATTTTTTTTAAATAAAGAGAATACTATAGAATTATTGGTATGAATCACATTAAGGGTTAAGATTGTTTCACGAAACTTTTGTTTCAGATATGTACTTACACACCTGGGTGTATAAACAGACTTGATATGTGTGTGTATTTAGAGTCCATAAATGTCCTTTAGGGTTTAAATTTTCATACATTTATTTCTATATATAATCCAAACAATCATAAAGTACAATAGCATAGACAGCATATTTCAATAAAGGACTCCCCACTCATCATTTTACAAAAATTTGGAAACAGCCACTTGAAATTTTTTTACTTATAAAGACAGCATTTACTTACTTATAAAGTATTGCCTGTTTTATTTAAATATTAAGTGAATTATCTGCTGCTTTCTGCAAATTGTCCATACCTTATGAGAACGTCACAAAGATTTGAACGTCACAAAGATTTTATGAATCTTTGTATATAACATGCATATACAGCATAGTCATGATGTAAAATGTTTCTTAATGAAAATTGTGTTGAAGAGAGTCGGTCTCACCAGCAAATATTCTTTATTGGCAACCAGAAGAGCTTTCCAAATACATATGCAACCAGTTACCCTCCTAGTAATAATCTCAATAATTTTCCAAACCTTTTAAGATAAAATCTAACTCTTTTATACAGTGTATAGTCTCCTTTATACTACCTGAACTTGCTAATTTTTCCAGCTTCATTTCTTGTCATTATTCCACTCAATAATCAAGTTATATGAAAACAGAGAAAATTTCCAAAACATCCTACTTATAACTTCATGTCTTTATATATACTCTTCTGTAACATTTATTTTCTTTTTAGAGTATAGTAATTTAAGGATTGAGTGAAGAAAAAAATAGACCACAAAAGAATGCTCAGAGATATGAAAACCATGAGGAAGCTAAGAGATAAGATCCAGAAGAAAATAGGTAAGTTCAAGGAGAAAATAGACGATAGCTGAGAGAACCAATATGACTGGTTTTAAAAAGTGTTTTTGGAAATTGGTCAGTAGTTTTATACCTCATAGGTCGAAGAGTGAATGGAAAGTATAAAAGGAACTTTGAGAAGTTTGGATTATATAAAGATTGGACAGTAGGTAGGTAGGTAGGTATGGATGAGAGATGGAGGTTTTATCGTATGTTTTAAATGGATTGATTACGTATAGAGGCTTCGAAAAGGAAACTAGTAAAAAGGGAAGAGATTGAAAATACGAGAACATTAGGTCTAACAGAGTGCAATGTCCAATGTACTTGTTTAACAAATATTTTGAGGTAAGGCCAGAGTCATACCATACAACAAAATTTTGCTATTCTATCATCTAGAGCAGTTGGAAAGTATATTTCCTATTCATGTTCCCCAAAGGAATATATTATTTATATTAAAATCTCATGCAATAGGAAAATTGTGGTGTTTTCCTTCAGAATAAACGACATTATCCATTAAAAGCAGCAGCAACCAAAGAAGAAGAAAACAAAACTATGACACCATCTTAGGAACAATTTTTACCTTGTGAGTAAATTCTAAAGTTAAACAATATATAATTTATTCAAATAGCAGAAACATGCATACAGTACACAAGCTTATCCCTATTCTGGCAATAATGTTTATTTACTATTTGGCCAGAAAAATCTACAGATATGTAAACAAAAACAGAGCTTGATCACTTTAATTGTAAATTAAGGAAAATAACATACCACATCTCTTACAGGAGTGCTTGATTTCTTGAGTAAATACAATTCTTTTTTCTTTTGTTCAATGTAGTATCTAATGTCTTTATTAAAAGAAAGAAGGGTTTAAGATTAGCATTTTTATCTTTTGAGTGAAACACTGTTATTTTCTTTCAATTGTATTAAATTTACATGAAAGAATTACCATTATAGGTATCTCCTTATGTAAAGTCTGGAACCAAGGGAATGAGATGGATACTTACAAGAAATATTGTCAAAAAACAAGGATAAAATCCTTACCATCAATATGAAGAATTTTCACTCCCCATGATAAGGCATTTGATAATATACTATTTGAAGGAATAAAATCCTGTAAAAAAAAAAAGGTTTGATAGTTTTTCTAGAAAATTACTATTTTAAATGAGTTTAATTTAAAAATAATTTGGAGTTTAATGTCACTGAGGTGGTTATTGAGAACAGATCCTATAGTAATGAGGACAACAACAGCAATGAGGACGTCAGTTTCTTTTGGAAATTCTAAAATCCATCCTGCTTAATATATTCCCATATTATTTACAATGAGTATGCACTGTAGCCTTATAGTTAATAGTTTCAATAAATTATTCCATTTGAAAATATAAAAATGCCACAAGCTTCAGAAGTCTCCAGTAATATTTTAAAAGGCCACAAGATGGAGATGTTTCTTCATGAAAAGTAGATTCTGTTCTTCATAAAAAGAGAAACATGCTGATATTTAAGGCTTTTCCTACTACAAATGAGTAAAGAAAGGTTTCAAGAACATCTCTATTTTGTACTTGAGTTTTTAATAATAGAATATACACTGTGAATTTTTAAAGTTCCTACTTACATGGTCCTTGATAGCTTTTTCAACTAATAATTTTCCTCTGCTCAAACACACCTATAAAAGACCAGAGAACAATCAAACATAAAGTTATAATATAATGCCTCACTGGAAAAGGTTTAAAAAAATAGCTAAATAAAAACAGATACATTTTAACATAAATATAAAATTTAAAATAAATTTTATTTGTACAAGTTTTAATGACTACTGTCAAAATAAATGTATGGTAAAAAGTGGTCTTCTTAGGGTCTTTGTAGTAAGAGCTATTAAAAAGTTTGTCTTTTCTGGGTGATGCAACTAACCTCAACTGAACGACACCGAAGGTCAGTTCTATAGTAAATTCTATTCAACATGAAAAATAAAATAGCTAGGTTCCTCTAAAATTGTCTATTTTTACATTTGAGTTCCCCATTAAACTGAAGATCTAAGAATATGAATAAACTGTATATACTGATTTACATGGTATTTCACCTTTTAAAATAAAATACTAGGAAAAGCAATTGAAATGCTACAGGCGACAATTAATTTGGATCTAGTCACTGGTATATAATCTCATTCCTCCAATAAAACATTAACTGAAAGAATGGATAAGCCTTCCTTGGTCTCCTCTCCTCGACTTTTTTCTTCGATGTATTCGTCTATTTTTTCAAGTGATATCTTTTATATAACTCATTTCTTCTGTTTCCCCCTATTTTTCCTGCTTTCCAAATGGCTTCAGTAGGTAAAAATGATAATTACTTTTCAATCTGAGATAAATGTTTTACTTTTTTAATCACTTCCTCTCCACACCTAATCAGTTTAATTTATCCTTCACTGTATCTCCTAACATACTGGCAATGGAGTGGTAGGGATGTGATGTCAGTAAGTCTAGAACAGCGCGGTTAGCAAATTTTCCTGTAAAGAGCTAGACAGTACCTGTTTTAGGCTCTGCAGGCCATATAGTCTATTGCAACTATCCAATTCTGCCTTTACAGCAGGAAAGCAACCAGTTAATATATAAACAAATGGGTATGGCTATGTGCCAATAAAACTTTATTTATGGACAATAAAACTGAATTCCAAATAATTTCCACTTGCCAAAAAATATTAATTTTTCTCCAACCATTTGAAAATGTAAAAACCATGCTTAGCTTGTAGGCTGTTAAAAAACAGGTAGCAGGCTGGATTTGGCTTGTGCCCATAGTTTGCTAATCCCTGCTCTGAAACAAACAAAAGGTTTTCATTTCTTCTTGAAAATAATGATCACTTTTACTTTTTAGTTGTAAATTACTCTAAAAAATAAAAACCATCCCTAAATGCAAGGGTATATTTTAGGAGTAAGAGCATAACCACAGAAGTACTATTAAGAGAAAAATCACCTTTCTATAAGTCAGCAACATTATAAAGGACCAGAAAGCCACACAATGCAAATATTGTTCTACCTAAGTGAACTCTGTTGCCAGCTTGCTCTTGAAAATCATGAGATCCTCAAGCTACAGCCTTTCTGATAAGTCTCAAAGCATATTTAAGAGACTTACTGAATCTGGAGACTTAAATGAACTTCCATCATGGCTGGGATGAGGTGAAGTGGTTTCTACAGTATATGCAGATTCTGGACTGGGTACAGGAGAAATTCGTCCAAAGGTTTGTGCAAATTTAGCTTCCTTTTTATTTGAAATAAGATAACTAATATCTTTGCTGAGAAATTCTTCAACCCGCTAAAGGAAAACAAAGTATTTTTAAGTCATATAAACCATATACTGTTTCACATGCTAAGCACAGATAAAATGCCAATTTGATGCAGTTAACATTTTGTAAACTGGTAGTTTTTATATTGCATTCTTCTGAATCTAGAACTCTAAGAAAGTACTATAGGAGTTCCAATCACAACATGACACCATATTCCAGATACTATTTTTAAGTACTTTATATATTCTAAATAATTTAATCCACTCAACAACCCCATGGTACCAGTAACTACATTTTGTGGAGAAGAAAATCGAAGAGAAGTGACTTGCCTAAGGTTACACCAGTAGTAAGTGATAGAATTTGAAAACATACTCTGATTCAAGTCAATGCTCTAGAGCAGGACTACCCAGTAGAACTTACTGCAATGATGGAAATGTTTTTCATCATCATTATCTAATAAGGTAGCAACTTGCCACATGCGGCTACTGAGTACTTACAACGCAATTAATGTGACCAAGGAACTGAATTTTAAATTTAAATTAACTTAAATTTAAATAACTATATGAGACCGACTACTGTTTTGGACAGCACAGTTCAAAATCATAAAGTTATAATATTAATCTTTGCATAGGACAAACTAAAGGCAAGGAGGAAATCCTAACCCTTAGGAGTTTAAGACTGAAGAGAATTTCCCCACTAAAATGTTTGAAAACCACTACTTAAATGCCTGAATTTATAAACACATGTAGCAAAGTCAATATTATCAAAAGTTGCTCTCACCCAAGGGGTGGAAAATTAAACTAAGTAGAAATAAATACTACAAATCAGTAACTATCTGCATAAATCAAGGACTTGTACAATATTCTAAACAGCTCTAATTTGTACAGGATCGCAAAATATAAATAGGGATAATAAAAGAAAGTAACAGATGAATTAATTTCATCTAAGCATTAAGCAGATTTGCTAAGACCAGTGCCCCCTCCCCCACCTTGGTTAAATGCAAATCCCTGATCCCTTTTTCTCTGAGCAACACTTTCATTAACTAGTAAATAAATTAAGTATCCACATTTATTTATTCCAAATACCTACATGGGTCAGCAGAAATATAAACAATTTACACATCAAATACTTTCTTCGTTTTCATAGATATGTGGCCCTAGCACTGTCACAGGTTCCAATCTTACAAGAGAAGCCCAATCTCTTACGTGATTTTAAAATTGTGATAAAACATATATAACATAAAATTTACCATTTTAAACAATTTTAGGTGTTCAACTCAGTAGCAATAAACACATTCATAATATTGTGCAACCATCACCACTATCCATTTCCAGAACTTTTTCATCATTCCAAGCTGAAACTCTGTACACATTGAACAATAACTCCCCATTCTCCCCTCTCCCCAATCCCTTTTAATATCTATTTTACTTTGTTTCTATGATTTTGACTATTCTAGGTACCTCATATAAGTGGAATCCTATATTTGTCCTTTTGTGTCTGGCTTATTTCACTTAGTTAGCACAATGTTTTCAAGGTTCACTCATATTGGAACATGAGTCAAATTTCATTTCTTTTCAAGGCTGAATGATATTCCATTGTATGTATATACATTTTGTTTATCCATTTGTTGATAACATCTGGGTTGCTTCCGCCTTTTGGCTATTGTGAATTACGTTGCTATGAACATGGGTATACAAATCTCTCTTTAAGACCCTGCTTTCAATCATTTTAGGTATATACCCAGAAGCAAAACTGCTTGATCTTATGGTAATTCTATTTTTAATTTTTTGAGGAACCATTGTACTGTTTATCAGAGCAGTTGCACCATTTTTCAATCCTATGAAAAGGGTTTGTTTCCCCATATCCTCGCCAACACTTTTTTGATAGCAACCATCCTAATAGATGTGAGATGGTATCTCATGTGGTTTTGGTTTGTATTTCCCTAATGATGAGTGATGTTGACCATCTTTTCATGTGCTTATTGCCCATTTGTAATCTTTGGAGAAATGTCCATTCAAGTCCTTTGCTCATTTTTTAATCAGGTTATTTTTTGTTGTTGAGTTGTAGTAGTTTATAAATTCTGGACACTAATCCCTCATCAGGTATGTGATTTGCGAATACCTTTTTCTCCCATTCTGTGGGTTGTCTTTTCACCCTCTTGATAAGGTGTTCTTTGATGCACAAAACCTTTTCATTTTTACGAAGTCCAATTCATCTATTTTTTCATTTGTTGCCTGTGCTTTTGGTGTCATATCCAAGGAATCAATGTCAAATCCAATGTCATAAAGATTTTTCACTATACATTCTTCTAAGAGTTTTAGGTCTCATGATTAGATCTTGATCCATTTTTAATTAATTTTAGCAGAGTAAGGATACAACTTCATTCTTTTGCATGTAGATATCCAGTTTTCCTAGCATCAGTTGTTGAAAAGATTGTCCTTTCAATGAATGGTCTTGACACCCCTGCTGAAAATCAATTGCCCACATATGCAAGGGTTGATTTCTGGGCTCTCTATTCTATTGCATTGGTCTGTATGTTTGCCCTTATGCTGGTACGACATATTTCCTTTGGTTTTCCATTTCCTATAGCTGGAGTTATAACTCTTTAGTAGTGAATAAAATATTGTTTACAAGTTGGCCCCAATATAACATTGTTTCTTGCCATTTCCCCCATCTAAATCCGAAGCTCATTATAATGTAATATTAGCAGTTGCTTTAAAAAAAATCATGTTTTAAATATGCCCTTTGCTCTACTCAGTTTGTCCATTCTGCCTAATATATTCCTACTAGGCTTTCAAGACTCAGCTCAAACTTTTTTCCCCCCGCTTCTTTAATTCCACCCCCCCCACTTCCACCCCTGACCTACGGATGTTGCTGTCTCCCTTTTTAAGAACTGGATCTCTAAAGGCGGGGCATCTGCCCCCATGGGGGCAGCGCGCACCTGGGGTCTGGCGCACCCAGGGTTTGGTCCATAGTTCCACTGGGGCGCGAACCCAGAACCTTCTGCGTGTAAAGCAGACGTGCTAACTGTTATACTATGGAGCCACTCCCTCAGCTCAAGCTTTATCTCTGCTATAGCCTAAGATTCCTAAAGGCAGAGTTAATCATTTCCATCTCTGTATTATAATAGAAATTTCTACATAATTTCTGGTAAAGCATTGATAATGCTACATTGTAAATTATTTAGGTGTCTGATGTTCCCACAGACTGAGAATTCCTAGAGGACTAGACAACCTCTTATTTTTGTATCCCCAGCATATAAAATAATGCTGACATATGGGAGAATCCCAGGGAATAATTTTTGAATGAATTTCCACATGCCCAAATTATCATCATTCTTCAAAGCTGAGTTCAAATTGTGTTTGTACAACGGCCTCCACGAGTTCTCATTTGGAAGTACTCTCTTTGACATTCTATGTTGTATTAAAATCAGCTGTACCCATGTCATCTCTACCGAGCTGAGGACAGAATGGACATCACATTTATTTTTGAATCTACCAAAACACTTAATACCATGCTCTGTACTGTTGACTTAGTTTTATCATGGTTTTCAATCTATTAGCTATTGTTATTTTCTGATTACTCAATGTCATAATGAACATTAAACAAGTAACTCTGTCTTCAAGTTCATGATATGGCAAGGTATCTGTCCTTATATCTCTATTCTTTTCCAAGTGCCTTATTTTAGCCCAAACTGTTTAGACATGGACCTAAATGCGGTTGGTTCCATGTCTTTTTAAGATGTTTCTGTAACAGCTACTTTCCTTGCCACAAAGATATTTCCCCATTATGTCAGACTTCACTGCTGTGCTTTCAATGGTTGAATTTGTCAGAAGTGCACTCTCCAGATAAATGGGGTATTTAGATGTTTTCATTAATACTAGAGAAAACAAATGCATAAAGTGGACAATTAAAAAAAGGACAACAATGTAATAATCTGAAGCAAGAGAAATTACAAAAGGATAAAGGGCCTAAGTAACACTAAAAATTAATAAGCATAATCCTTTCAAGGAATATCTATTCAACTAAGTAGTTGTTAAAGTTGAATCTTAAAACTCTTAGTGTCTAGAGGTCAAAGTTCCTTTACAGTTCACTAGGAGATTTTCATAAAGTGTTCTTAGTGATAGAAATGGTAAGGTCTAGTGACAGAAATCAGGACATCAAAGAATACTGGAAAGATAGTGTGGGCGGAGATCAGAATTTGAATAAAATTTTTTTTAAAAAGAGAAATTAAGGAATAAAGTTAATAGATCAAATCCAGTTGAAAATCAACACCTTGGGGGAAAATTTTGAAACTTATCCTCTTAATATCCCCTTACTTCATTAGTCTACTTCAATTTAGGGTAAAATTTGAAGTATTTATAAAACTAAAAGTCTCTATTATCTAATGCCTAAGTTAATTCAAAATTTGTTTCTTGCAAGTGCCTCAGGAATTGATGTGAGAATGAGAAGAGAAAACGGGCATTACAAGGAGTCTCTGCACTAGCTTCTATACTGCTATTTGAGCTAGAGGAGTTCCCTTTTCAATAGCTTTACACAGTAGACTCCTAAATATGATTTTGTTTGAAGGATTCCACTGCTAAAAACACAAATCTAAAATCATTGATTTAGATCAGAAGGGTTAGTGGGTTATTATATCATATTTGAGAAAGCTGTGAAACTGTATTAGATAATTTCTTTGTAACCATTATTTGCTAGAGAAACAGAATGGTGCAGTACCATATCAGTCTAGGAATTAGGAGGCTAAGCCTACCCTGGGCCAGTCATTTAACTTCTCTGGATCCATAAGTACCTAATTTCTAAAATGAAGGAGTCTGTAGGTGGTACAGTCAATATGGTGGCAGGTATATAAAATATAACCTTTTGGAATGCAGTCATATGGTCATTATGATATATGCTACTATTATGACAAATATATAACAATGTTTTAAGAAAATAGCGAAAAAAGTAGAATAACTTTTCAAAGATAAATACACTATCACAACAATAAACAATTCCAAGAAACCTGTTATATGTTCTGCAAATCTCTATTCTAGGAATGACAGGATCTATTCAAATTACTCAAAGTTGTTAACCTTGACAAATTTAAAGTGCAGCAGAAATCTTTTTAACAAGAATTAGGGAGTAAACTCAACTTTACTTGCTAAAATTTACCTAATATTAACCTTAATCCTAAGAAAATCTTAGAATTTTACCTGAATTTTGTAATTTCTTAATCATTTACTCAATGTATAAGGTAAGAAAGGAGCAAGTTTTCCATATTCTTAATCCAAACTTGTTCCCTCAATGACAAGTTTTCTGTTGTGACTGTAACTCAAGAGTAATTGTAACTTTTAAGTTTCCCGTGTTCTGTAAATAACATTTTTATTGTTATACTAATCCATACAAATTTATGTAGCTCCCCAATAATCATAATGGAGTTCTTGCTATCTGTAAGATATCCCAACATTACAATGAGAAGGCAATTAGCAGTTCCACCAGGACAAGGGAGTCTCACTTCTCACACTTTGTCAACTTTACACTAAACTAATTGATAATCACAGAAATCTGAAAGTTTTGTCAGGCTACAAAAGGTTAAAAGATAGTTTTTCATTAATGACATACATTTGGTAAAAATTTTAAGCTTAGTGCTTATATGGTTACAAGTTTTCCAAAATAAAAAATTTAAATGATTACATATTCTAGAAAGTACTAGTTACAAATTGTTCCTTTTTTGTCAGTTTATGGTTTTGACTTACCCCTCCCAGATCCTTAATGTCCTTTTGCAGTTTTTCAGATATGGTGACAGAAGGTAAGTCAATGTAAAATACTTTTCCCCAAAGTGGCTTATATTTGGATTTTTCTGGTTTGTTATCAGTTTTCAGACATTTCAAAGATGGTCTGTTTTTTTCATTTTTGACTTGGATTCCACCTATTGTTTAAAAAATTTAGAATTACATCATGTTTTCTGCAGATAGAAAATTTTTACTAATTTAAAAACATTTCTTTATACAATGATATCAGAGGGGGAAATCTTTATTCCTTCAACTTAAGTCATTAGGATTTTAGTGTATTTCTTTGTAGTATCACTTAGGATAATGGCAAATTTCCTATATATTTTAAGATACTATACTGTAAAACAACTATTTTTCAGTCAATAGTTGAATTTACAGCTGAATATTCAGATGTTTGTGTTTTATGTATATGGAATCTTATTGAAAAGATTTTCCTCTTTAGGCTGTAAACTCTACAGGGTATGAGCATTTGCCATTCTGCTGAACATTCAGAAATTGTGCTTAAAATGTTAAACACATAGCAATGCGAGAAATCTGTTACTCAGAATGACTTAGTCGTCCTCAAAGGTTCCTGCTCAAGGTTTAGTTCCATACGGTTTGTCTGTATATTAAGAACTAAAATTTCCATTTGAAGAACCAAATCACCACTTATTTCATCATTTCCTTTGACGAGATCTGAGATCTAAACAACTGCTTTAAAAATTAACTGAGAACACAATCCGTTCATAAGTTGAAGATTTATTGTGTGTGTGTGAGTGTATATATATACACATATATATAATAGGAGTATATATATACACACATAATATACAGATTAAAAAGGAAAGCTTAGAGGTTGGAATGTTTTACCAAATAAAGTGAATGGAAATGGAAGTTTGCTTTTGTTTGTTTGTCTATAATGTTAAAAACAGTAATGGTATGTTTAAAATACAAATACTTTCTCTTTACGAGAACATAAGAGTAAGACCAAAAATCTACCTACAATCACCCAATTTAATCGTGAAGCGAAAAGCCAGGAGCATATCTGCTTTTGAGGATCCAGCTACAGGCTCAAAGGGCCTAAGCCGAGTCTCAGCATCTGTGGGAGCCCCACAGAGTTCCCGGGTCTGCACAGTTTTCTAGTTTTACAACCAACTGCACCACCTGGAATTTGGGGGCCGCAGGAGGGCCGTGAAGAGCGCGAGAGGCCGGGCAGGGATCCGTCCCTTTTTGAGGCAAAACTCTTAACCGAGCCATCCTCAGGCCAGAGAAGGACGCACAAGGCAGAGAAAAAAAAAAAAAGCCGGGACCCGAAAGAACTCTGAAGACAACGATGGAATCACGGGAGAGGTAATGATCAAAGAGACTGAAAGAGGAGGAGGGATTTCATACCCTGGAAATGTCCTTTGCTGTGGATCCTCATAGCTCCGGAGTTCATGGCAGCCGCCCGGCACCTACATGCTGCGTCCGGGGAGGGTGTCGCGCCGGACGGTCGAGAAAACACGGTTCCTCAAGGCCCGTAGACCGGCCAGTTGCCTCTTCCCTTCCGCGGATTATCACACCCACGCCGTAGACACAGGGCTTCCTCCTGCTGGGTTTCCAGGGCAGGACCCAGCTTCAAGGCGCGGAAGAGGAAGAGGAAAAGCACAAACGAGTGGACTGCGGCGGTTGAAGATTTGAAAACGCGTCACGCGGCCGCGGCGCCGATACGCGCGCCCCGCCCCCTCTCACGCCGCACGCCGTGCCCCGCCTCGCGCTCGCCCCCACGTGCTCGCCTCCTCGCGCTCGCCTCCTCGCGCTGCACGTCCCGCCCCGCATGTCCCGCCTCCTCGCGCCGCGCGCCCCGCCCCCACGGGTCACGTCTCCGCCCACGCCCCTCCCCTATTGCTATGTCCTTGGCTTCAGATTCGCGCTCTCAGCTCCGCTACTTAGCGTTTCTGCGCTGCCTCCAAGAGACTTTGTGACTGGGTGTTGACCAAACGTAGTGGATGCAGTTAGTGCTGGAGGTCGTCCCAGCCCTCCATCAGGGTCATTCTAGCCTTTTAGGTTTGCCGGGATCGCCTGCCTTCCAATCGTCTCCTCCACCAGGTACGTTTTATTTCTTACGGGTCAGATGTCCCGTAGTCTGGAGGCGTGGCGGCTGCGGATGAGCCAGGATTTGGGCCCGGCCGGGAGGCGGCGATAGCTAGTGTTCAGCGCGCCCGGAGTCCCCGAGCGTGGTTTTCCCGCGGTGACCGTCGACCCTCGGGGCGGTAGACGGGGCCGCAGAGGGACTTCCCGAGGTGAGAGCAGCTTGGGGGTTGGGGTTTGTCGGAGCGAGGGTGGAAGCCCTTCGCCTAAAGCGCGTTCTGATGGCCTTGTGCCCTTTTGGTACTTGACTGGGTGTGCTGTTCTGTTGACCTCTGTTTTGCGTTTTATTTCACTAATAGTCGAAAAAAGTGGAAATCGCAGGTCTAGGGTTTGGGTTTGAATCGGCCTCTTAATCAGCTTGTAAGACTTTGGTTAAATTTCCTGATCTCTTTGAGTCTCAGTTTTTCAACTGTAAAATGGGGAAAATAATGGGACTATAGTACGGGTTAAATTAAAATTATGTACATTATTTTAGTTTTGTAAATAAGAAAACGCTTCACAAAATAATGGTTTGGGTATGTTTCTACTTGTTAACTTTTCAAGGGAGAAGAGGATTTAATCTTGGACTATGCATTTCTTAACTCTTGGCCACTCATTGTTTACTGGTTGATTTTTGACTTAGTGGTTCCGGGAAGTTAGTGCCTATAAACACCATTTTGCAAATCAGTACCTGAAAGGTATAGACAACGGTGGATTGTGATACCTATAGTCAAAACGGAGAACACAGAGAAATGGTTCAGATGTGGATGGCTTTAGGTTGAAGGACCTGGGGAGACTCATCGAAGTATTTTTATTAGATAGTTGGTAATTGTCTGTAACTCAGGAGAGATGTGTATATGTGGGGTAGGCGGTTGATAGAGGGAAGAAAGATTGATTTGAGAGACATCCACAGACTGGATCACTGGTTCGCAGTCAGCGGTGATGCATAAAAGTGCATAAAGAGGTTATCAGAACTTGAGAGGCAGGAGGAGGTGTAGTTTGAACATATTCAATATGAGATTTTTCTATTTGGGAAAAACAGTTTATTTTCAAAATGTGAACTATAGAAAGAGCACCAGGTTTTTATATTTATAAAAAGCTGTAAAAGATTAGACACACTAATATAGAATGTAGTTACAGTTCTGGGAGGACATGTAATCGCCCTGGAGAGCAAGTGAAATAAGAGAAGTAGCGATAAACAGAGGGTGAGAATATAGTGAAAGAAATGGAGAAAAGGCCACACATTGAGATAGGAAGAGAACTGGGAACAAAACAAACTGTCAAAAGTCACAGAATTGCAAACATTGAGGTCATGCAAGCTTTACTAACTATATGGTTTGGGGTAATTTTGAGCCTTGATTTTAATCTATGAAAAGATTACTTCTCAGATATTGTCAGATTTAAACAAAACATTTTTGAAAGCTTAATTAGGACAGTGCCTGGCAAAGAGTTAAGAGCTCAGTAAGTGCTATCATTGTGGTAAACTCCACACCAGCCCCTCTATCCTCAAAAGTTCAAAAAGGCTGACTTGAAAAATAGGCCTTTGATTCTGGTGTTTAAGGTATCATTAGTTTCCTTACTGAGAATTTCAGTAGATGGCTAAGATAAGTACTGTACTAGATAATGATGAGTTTGAAGTGGAAACAGATTAAATGTATCCTCTTTCAAAAAATCTGTCAGTG